CAAATTAACGGTCATATCTATAGGGCTATAGATATCAACGGAAAGCCGATTGTTCGAATTTGGAAAGCAGATAAAATCTGTTATCGCATCCAAGTGATTATGGATAAGATAACGATTTTTCCGTTTCGCCGCATATTGTACCTTAGGGATAAGTTCGGATAGTCGTCCAGATACGTTGCCAAATTAGGAATAATTCCTAATTTTGAGTGTTTTAGAATATTGCGGATAGAGCAAACAATATCCCTAAGATTTAGCAATCCACCAAATATTCACAGAATATTTAAAACACCTAAACTAGGAATTTAAAATATTCTGAAAAAATATTGGATATCGATCATACCTAATTTGACGGATATTTCAGATTCGAACTTGGATCGGACTCAGGCTTGCGGATCGGGATGGTGACCGACGGCGGGCGCGGTGTGGCTCCGGTGTTGCTTGGTGAAGTATCGAAGCTCGGTATGAACCAGTGGGCGTCGAACAATGGACAGCAAATCTGAGAGAATTTTCACCGTGGCTAGCTATCGTCGGGCTGGATTATGGCGTGCATTGAGCAGGCCCGTCGTAGATGTAGGAGGCGTAACAGCCGCAATCGCGGAAGGGAGAGGGCAAACTCCTTTGTCTTTCTCTCTCAACGTGTGGGTTCCCGTATGGAAACCTCTACTCCCTTTTGACTTCTTCCCAGTTGACAAAACGTGGCCTTTGTCTCAAATCTTCCACTATCTCCCACTAACGGCTAAATTTGCACCGCTTCAAGCTGGACGTTGTCCACTTTTCATGTGGTCTTCCTTTGGCTGAGACTCATTGGCTCCATGGATGAACGTGAATCGGAGAACTAAGAATTCTCGCGTTCTTTGATCGAATTTCAACCACTAGTGAAGTGGGTTGATATACTCCAAAGTGCGAACGCCGGTGAAGCTCCTTGCGGATGATGATCCAAGAGCAGGGAAACGCCAATGTATTCAAGGGGCATCAAAGTGGTGTTACTTGCAGATGTAGCTCAGTGGATGCCGGAGAAAATTTTTGAGAGATCATGCGTAAATCTCCTCTCTCTTTTGTGGTTCTCTCTCGCTCCCTCGTGGCCGTGTATGAAATTGTGTGGCCTCCGAAAATTATGAAAGTCCTCCCTTGATTATGACGCATAACGACATATTTATATCGCAACCCTAGATTAATTAACCGGGCTTCCTAGTCCTAATGGGCTTAGACTTAGGCTTTATCATTTAATATTATTTTAATTTCAAATGGGCTAAATTAATTCGGACTGATTAAGCTCAAATTAAAACAACCAAAGCCTTTTAGACTTGTGAATTTTGGCCCCCAATCCCTTGAGTGAGCCGAGTGCTTGAGCTCGGTTTACGCGATGAATTTTTAGCTTTCTCGCCACAGCCGGTCCGATACGGAATGCAACTAACCTATATGGACTCAAACTATATGCTATACAATTTTAATATTTTTGTTTAGGGATTAAAATTTAATCCCTAATTTTCTATGCAAAGTATCATTAAATGGTCGATCGAAATTTAGGTGTAAATAGCTACGATCTCATCCATCAATGCCTCAGTCTCGCACAGCTCGGCAAGAAACTTATCCAGGTTGTGATGCCGACTGAACGTGAATCATTGACAACTAGCTACACGACTGGGTTCAATACAAAGAATCCGATGCTTCGAATCCTCGAAGTCAAAAGATCCAATCCAAAAATTTAAACTGGTAAATGAAGGGACTACATATGTATATAAAGAGCATATAGACCCGATAGACAGGCAATGTGGGATATATTAACACTCGCTAAGCGGACTCCGAAAACAATCTACGAGGGAGTCGATGATCAGGAGAAAGAGTTGATCTAGCAAGTGAATGATTTCGATTCGAGATCACCGAGTTGGTCAGAGGTGAATGTCACAGACCTGAGATTTTTAAGGTGCAATAGGCCAAGGGTGATCGAAATGACCGGGCATGCTTTCAAGTTTCTCTAGGATTTTTTTTATTTATGTACTTTTGCATCCAAGAAAATTCTTGTAATTAATGTGTTGCTCGTGGATGGGGAGATTAGATCCCTACTATTAGATCGAATAGAGATCTACGGTTGTAATTGGAGGGGTTCACATTCATATAGTGCCCCTCCCCTCATTTCTAACCTTGCACAAATATCCACACAAGAAGAGTAATAGAGCACTCTCTCTCAAACCCTTTTCTTTCTAGAGTTTCTCTCTAAGATCCAAGGTGGGTCAAGTGAATAGTGAGCGATTGACATGGGGAAAATCGAGCTCAGACGACTCTAATAAATAATGAGCGAGTCAAGGGAATCAGACATTGCACAATTTTGATCTCAAGTACTGAACTGTAATATTGGCAACAAGAGCTCAAAATGAATATACACAATTGGCCGTCTGTGATATGATCATTATTCCCGGTAAAACAAGGTTGCACTACCAATATCTACTTCTATCCCATAATTTTGATAATGTAACTCATGTAATCTTTTTTACCATATACTCCATTTGTTCTTTAACACAAAGGAGGCTAACGATTGTAACAAGCTCATTGATCCCTCCCACTTGTTTAAATCATCTCCAATGGAGACCGTAACATTGATGGACACCATTTGGTGCACGTAGCCACCAAAAACACGCTACATGTTAAAAAGACCTTTGGTCAAGCATGTAGAAAAAAGACAGAGATTTAGGATTTTGTTTTATCAATTTGAAATTACAGTTATTGAACGAGGGTGAAAAGGAAAATCGAGAACTTTCATCAGCTCTTTGTTTCGGCATATCCAAAAATGCTAAAATGCCCAAAGCCGATTTGCCCTTGCCTTGAAAGAAAGGGCTTTCGGAATGCATTGCATTTGCCAAATCGGCTTCGAAATTACTTCACCAAACACAATTCTTCTTGCCAAAAGCTTTTTGTAAGTTCAAAATCTCTTGACAATGCTTTTCAAGCGCAGCCTAAGTTAACCACAAATCGATCAGCCCCACCCTGCCCATTTTTGGCCACCATCTTCAATCATTAGGCGTACGTAGCCACTAAGAAGATGCCACGCGTGGAAGACCTTCGACATGAACGTGTATCTATGGATTGGTCCATCACCCGACTTCTAGTCAATCAAAACATGCCAGATCATCACAACGTGCGAAAGTGCTGCCAGATCATCATCAACCCTTTCGGTGGGGGCCACAGAAAAGTTTTTGGCCCGGAGTGCTGCATTATTATTGGCCCACCTTGCTGTCTGCTGTGCCCACGTGGCACGTACCCATGCCCTTCAATCGATCATCTAAATTATTATTTCCAAACTTTGGAGCTGATGAAGAGAGAGAAATGGTGCTAGGTCGGATGGTACTAAAGGTTCTTGGAAGGTTGTCGGCTATTGGATTGTTTTGTTGCTGCTGCCTTTTGGTCCACCCCAAAAGTCCCTCGTGAACCTCCTTCCTAGGTTAAGGTTGGCATAGCCAGACAGCATGCCGGAGGCTACGTGTTTGACCCTCATTAAAATTACGTGTAAATTCCTCTAAGTTGGGATAGGATAGGAAAGGTAAAGATCGGAACATTAGAGATTCTCGAAGGTGATACTAATGGGCAAAAGTATTCGATCAGTTCTGGATGCCAATTTAATCATAAATTTTTTAATATTATCTATTTAGTTCTAAATTTTTGCACGAGATTCCAATATAATCTTTCAAGCAAATTTTCATCAGAAATCATTGACGTACCAGTATGGCACGTAGGATGGCCGACGATTGGCACACCGGCATGTCAATGATTTCCAGCGAAAATTTGGCCAGGAGTACTATATTGGAATTTCGCGCAAAAATTTATGACTAAAGCAACAACGTTGAAAAATGTATAATAGAATTAGTACCCAAACGATGAGTTTAGAATTGATGGGACAATTTTCCAAATACTAATGTAACTCGAGATGTTAAAATAAGGAGATTAACTCAACCTATGTTGTGTAAGAGCATGATCGAGCCATGATTCTTATCTCTTCAACACTTCTTCTGGCCAAATTGGAACGAACGTGATAAATCAAATCCGCAGCCATTTAGCGAATCAATACCCATTAAACAACATCCAACTCATATTATTAATTTAATGCATTTTGCTAATAAAAAAAAAGATGATGATAATCAGCAGGCGGTGCTAACGTGTCATCAGCTCAATCTTCATCGAGAAATTCCACGTAAGCAAATTGGATTAAGACAACATTTGATTTTACAAAATGACCACATATGGGAAACGACGCAACGGCGACAGTTTAAGAAAGAAAAAAGTAAAAATGGAGCTGAGTGTCATACTTAAATTCTCCAGCGTTGGGGCTCCACGCGCCTGAAAACGATCTCATCAGCATCTCGCAGGCTTCTAGCACCTCAGGGTGATTAGCACTAATTATAATTCCACGTCACGTAATTAGAATTCGATATTTCTTGTGTTGACCAAAGATTAATCGATGTGTATTTTAGCTTCATAAATGGCATAATAATTAAAAAAACATATTAATATTAAAGTGTTAGGATAGTCATGTATGGATTTTATATATTTTTCACATCTATATGTGGTCTCTCTCTACTTATTGATTAAATTTTTTGGAAAAAGCATTGTAACATGATGTCAGAGCCGGGTTCCAGCCTCGGCTTATTTTGCATGGCGCAACATCTTCCCGGTCAGATCAAAGGCGGGTTTCGTTTGGATGGCCATGACAGTGATTCGGATTGAGACATTTTCAATCTTTCTTTTTTGTTTCTACTAGGATGGAAGGAAACATTATCGGAAAATCGTCTATAAGTATGGAATGAAATCAAGTTGAAATTGCATAAGCAGAAAGAAAAAAAGAACTGGGATTGTACGTTTGAAAAAGTCTCAACGCTGCCATGTGATCTGCATGGACACACTTGCATGTGGCGGCAAGAAAATAAAAATTAATTAAGGACTACCATCTAGTTAAAATATTGAAGAAGATGATATTGACATTAAACAAAGTAAGTCTAAGACCGCATTTAATTTCATTAATTGACAACATCCAAGACCCAAAAAAATTGCAAGATAATAATAAAATTGCCATGAGAAGAAAAAGATGAATTTGTCCACTGCCAAAGCGGGACCAACTGAGCTCCAAATTTCACAGATACAAAAGAAACGCTTCCCATACAATTCCTCCCCACCTCCCCACAAGATGAATGGCAACAACGATGACCCCACAACCCCTCTCCTCCCGCTCCGCGGAGATTGCGACAGACGAGGGCCGCTCGTTTCGCCGTCCCCCTCGCCCCTCCTCGATCTCTTCATGCCGGGGAATGCGTTTGTCGCCCTCAGCCCGCTCCTGTGCGCCGTGACGTGCCTCTGCGTGAGGCTCGACGGGCTGGGGGCTGGCTGTAACATGCTCGGCGTGCTGGTGTGGATGTTCGCGTGGTGGCTGACTGAGGCCGTGCCGATGCCAGTGACCTTGATGGCGCCGCTCTTCCTGTTCCCGATGCTCGGGATCGCGTCTGCGGACGCCGTCACCAGGTCTTACATGGACGACGTGATCACGCTCGTCCTTGGGAGCTTCATCCTTGCTCTCGCCGTCGAGCACTATAACATCCACCGGAGACTCGCCTTGAATGTGAGCTCTTCTTCGATAATCTTCCTTCTCCTCTTCTACATGAGTCCACTTGCAATTTATTTTCAAGATAGTTCATGATTATTGCACTATATGTTATTTCGAGTATAAACATTAATTTCAAGAATTTCTATCTTCACTTTTTCTTTGTTTCAAATTTATTTTTCTTGGATTAACTTTGGTGTCAAATCAATGAGCCTAGGACACCCCATATTGCTGGGTCCTGGCCCTTCCAAAAGTGGTATCAATCCTCTCTTTTCGTCCACAAAGTGAAAGCGAAATGGAGGGTTTCTCTTGAGCTTTAATAATTTGTATGGTACATTATGCTTGATCATCGGATCAAAGCCATTCTATAATGTGGATTAATTGTCACTAACATCATCTCAATGATGCCCTTCTTTTATATTGAGGTGGAATCTCCATGATGACGCATGTAAGTATTTGTCATTGTGATGTGGACTAAAGAAGCATCATCACATGTAGATGAGTGATTCCCTATTCCTATAAACCATCATGTTGTCTCATAGGAAAATATTATAATATTAGCCGGTAGGGTATTCAGTAAATCGGTCTGTGTAAACGTATACGCACAAAGTTTAACCACCCTATGAATTGTATGCTGAGAAATTGGTCATCCTTAAGTTATAGCTCTATCGTTAGTAGGGGTGACAACAGGCCAAATCGGTTTCGAGTCTCCACTGATATCAGACTAAAGATCCAACTCGTATAGAACTAAACAAAAAATGATCATGTCAGGTTATCAGGTTTTATTTTCCGTATTCGTGAATGTGTTTAGTGTTTGATAAACTATGTTTACTATGTTTGTTTTGATTTTGAAGTAAGTTCAATAATGTTTTTGGAATCGATTCGGGTTTATGATATAAAACCAATCAAACCATCGGAAACCTATTGTTTTACTTACTACCCGAAAAAAAGAGAAACCCAATTCGGAAAGATTCAAAATCTTTTGTTCTGGTCAATTCGGGTCCATTCAGGTTTTAATGTGGGTGGTTCTTTTTTACACCCCTAATAATTAGTAATTGTGAATGAGGCAGATAACATTACTTTTCTGCGGAGAGCCGCTGAACTCGCCTCTGTTGCTCCTCGGGATATGCACAACCACGGCATTCGTGAGCATGTGGATGCATAATGTGGCGGCGGCGGCGATGATGATGCCCGTTGTTACGGCTAGTTCTATTACCTAGAGGGGGGTGAATATGTGATTTTACCAAATTGGATGATTTAAACATGCGGAATGAATATGGTCGAGGTCAACAACTCGTATGTACAATAATAGATGGATGCGAATTACATTTTTGCATGTAAGTTGTCGTCAGATGATTGCGTCTGATGACTAAGATGATGTTCTGACGATCTTGTTTGACAGATATGTATGTAGCATAATGTCAGTAATAATAAATGAAAGTTTAGGGATAGAGAATACTGCACACAGATCTTTATAGTGGTTCGGTTTTATCAAGCCTACGTCTACTCTCCACGCTGGCAGCCTATTGGTTGTGTTTCACTATTGAATCACCAGAAGATTATGAGAGCAGTGCTTCATAGATGATAGACCGCACTATCACATACACTCTTCACTTAAGTAATTTTCTTTCTAAAGTTACAACGTGGAATATAGTAATCACAAGTGTATAAGATCGAAGCTTTATTCAGACTTTGGAATTCTCGATTCTAGTTCTTATTTCTTGTACGATGTTTGCACTCCTTTTATACTCCTCTACTTTCAATCTATCCGTTGGACAGTCTTCAGAGAATTGATCTCCAAATCAACCTGTTAGAGATTCTTTCCAAAATAGGATGCATAGCCGTTAGAAAAAGAACCATTATCTCCGAGTGATTTGATCGCCCATACAATTAAATCAAGGTTTCCATAAGTGTAGTTCTTCGTGTTTAAAGAACGATCTTGTGATTGCCAATTAGGATATCCTGAGATATCAATTTGATTATCCTGCATAAACTTGCCAAAAATAACACTCATTGAATCTGACGAGTAATTTTGAGTTTGATGACAAAGTCTTTTCATCGACTAAGTCTGATGACTCAGCATTTAACTGCATCAAATAACGTAAGTGTAATTCTGGTCAGTAACAGATAGTTTTGTCATTCCTCAAAACTCATTAGGGATTTTTCTCAACACCCGTCGCCACGGGGATCCTCCAACGCCTCCTAGAGGGGCCAGCCCGGCCCGACGCGGCGGGTAAGTTTTGCAAGGCGGTGGTGCTGGGGGTGATATACTTGACCGCCGTTGGGGGGATGAGCACCCTCACCGGGACAGGTGTCAACCTGATATTGGTGGGGATGTGGAAGAGCTACTTCCCAGAGGCAAACCCCATCAGCTACAACACATGATTCTTCTTTGGGTTCCCTCTGGCCTTGTTGATCTTCTTGGGCTTGTGGGGGATCCTCTGCTTGATGTACTGCTCAAGGGGCTCAGGAAGGGCTCTATTTGCTTACTTGGACAAGGCCCATCTCAAGAGAGAGCTTGAATTGTTAGGTAAATGAGACCCCGAAACTCACTTTCCTACCTTTCATTTCATGATCTTGGTCTTGAAATCATTAAGTGCAATGTGTTTCTTAATCAAAAGAAAAATGGCAGGCATCTTTTTCTTTGTTGATGAATGAGCTAATTTAGGTTAATTTGTGTGAAAAAATTTGAGAGTAGGTCCAATGGCATTTGCTGAAAAGATGGTGTTGACCGTCTTCTCGGTGCATTCATAACTTGAATTTTACTAGTAATTTCTCTAGCTTATGCGATTGACAGCATTATTAAGATGAATAAATGAAAAAAATGTGCATATGCTAATAGTTTTGTGGATGACAAGAAGCATAACAGAAGACATTCCCGGCTGGGGAGCTCTATTTGAAGGAAGAGCAGGCGATGGAACCATCAGTGTGAGTATATATGAGTTCAAAACTAAGTTACACCAAATGTTCGATCCATCTGGACATCGACTTGTGCTCTTGTCGCGATGTCACGCAACATGGTATTTACGAAACCCTAATCGCGTGATTTTTGCTCTTGAGAACAGGTGATGATGGCGACGTTGCTCTTCATAATCCCGAACAAGAAGCAGAAAGGAGAGAAACTGATGGACTGGGACAAGTGCAAGAAGCTACCGTGGAACATCATCCTCCTCCTCGGGGCTAGCTTCGCGATCGCTAATGGGGTCCGCTCCAGCGGGCTCGCGGATGTCCTATCGGAGACCCTAGGATTCCTAGAGGCGGCACCGTACCTGGCCATTGCCCTGGCCGTCTGCACCATAAGCGGGACGATCATTGAGTTCACGTCAAACAACGTGACCACAACACTCCTCATCCCTCTCCTCATTCAGATTGCCAAGACCATAGGCGTGCACCCGCTGCTCTTGATGGTTCCCGGAGCGATCGGGGCTCAATTCACTTTCTGTTGGAGTTGGCGAATACTTCGGGGACTCTTGTTTCTCATATCGGGCACGCCCATGTGAGTTTAGGGAATCTAAAGTATGATCCGACGACATGTGACCCCTGCGCACTGAATGCGGGGGTTCGGGGGTAGCGCCCCTGACACGGGGGTCCTGCTGACCGAACAGCTGGCGGGGGTTCCACTCCCCGATGGGTGGACGGCAGCCCCACTCGCCGGTGAGCGAGCGGGGGTTCGGGGGCAGAGCCCCGAAACAACATCGAGTTTGATGACCCGTTTGTTGTGGGATCAAAGGGATTTGGATAGGCTTGGGCTTTGAGCCCATTTTAAGTCCTATATATATTGTACTCGTATGAGAGATCATTGTAACGAGTGGCTGTGGTTGAAAACCTAAATATCATAGTGGAATCCCTTTGCAGGACGTAGCCCTATTCTGGGGTGAACCTGGGTAAACCTGTGTGTCAATTTTTCAATTATCTGTGTGATTGTTCTGATTCAATTTCGGATAAAACCCCATTAATTAGTATTAGAGCCAAGTTCGAGGAATTAGGGTTTATCTGAGATGTCAGGAGGGTCACGGATTGAGATAGAAAAATTCGATGGGAAGCATTTTGATCTGTGGAAGATGAAGACGGAAAATCTTCTTTGTGATCGAGATCTTTGGTTGGCAATCATAAGGGAAAGGCCGGTTGCTGCGATGGCTAGTGTCGTGATAGGTAAGGAAGCGGAGGCAACTCTCAAACAGCCAGATCTAAAGGAGATTGAAGACTGGGATCGGATTGATCGGAAAGCAAAGGGTTTGATCTGGCTTTGTCTCGCGGACTCCATTCTGACGAATGTGATGGATAAACCTACAGCCAGGGATTTATGGCAGAAACTGGAGTCGCTATTCCAAAGTAAGTCTCTGGTAAATAAGTTGTTCTTAAGGAAGAAGCTATATAATCTTCGAATGCACAAGGATGACTCGTTTGCTGCACATCTGTATAACTTTAACACGTTGATAAGCCAACTCGTATCAATCGGTGTTAAGTTCCAGGATAACGATAAGGCGATAACACTACTCTGTTCACTGTCGGATTCATGGGATAACCTGATTGTGGTAATCGGTGGTGGGGACAAGGAATTGTCATATGAGGTCGTGTGTTCGGCCTTATTATCAGAGGAGACACGAAGAAAGGGGTCAGAGAGTTCCAATAAAGAGGTGTTGGTGGCTAGGGGCAGGGCAGCAGAGAAGGGACTAAATCGGAAAGGGTCCAGATCCAAATCTCGTGGACAATCAAGAGTAGGGAGAAGAGGGTACAGTGCTGGAGATGTCAAGAGTGGGGCCATGTGAAGCGGGATTGTAAAAACAAGCCTGTTTCTAAGAAAGAAGCTGAATCATCCTCGGGAAAGAAGGAGGACGAGACAGGAGATATGTATGTAGCTGCTGCATGTATGGCGCAGTCAGACAAGGATATTTGGTTCGTCGACACCGGTGCTTCATACCACGTGACGCCTCATAGACACTGGTTTTGTGAATATGAGAAATATGATGGTGGAGATGTCATGCTCGGAGATGATACTGCAATTCAGATTGTCGAGTGTGGCAGGGTGAAGCTGAGGATGAGTAATGGCACAGTGAAGACTCTTCCAGACGTGATGCACATACCCTTGATGAGTAGAAACCTGTTATCAATCAGTACGATGGCTGATTCAGGCGTTACTTTCAGCTGTGATAAAAATTCGTGCAAGATGACTCGGGGTTCTATTGTGATTGCACGAGGAGTCCATTATGGAACGTTGTACAAGCTGCTAGGGGAAACGGTGATTGTTGGTGGTGGGTTCGTCTTTGAAAAGGCAAAGGAAGATGGATATGACACGTCCATGTTGTGGCATCAGAGGCTAGGGCATATTGGTGAAAATGGTCTGTCTACTTTAGCTTCGAGTCAAATGGTAGAGGGAGTACCAGATTGCTCTATGGGTTTTAGGTTCTGTGAACATTGCCTTCATGGAAAACAAAACCGAGTTAGTTTCCAACACGTCTGTACGAGAGCAACAGAGATTCTGGAGCTTATTCACAGTGATGTTTTCAGGCCTACTTCAACTCCATCTATTGGAGGATCTAGGTTTGATGTATCGTTCATAGATGATTTTTCAAATATAGTTGGATTTATTTTATTAAAAGTAAATCTGATGTATTCGAAAAATTTCGAGAATTTAAGGCTTTGGTTGAAAATCAATTAGGCAGAAAAATCAAGATACTTCGTACGGATAACAGAGGTGAATTCTGTTCGGACAAGTTCGAGCAATTCTGTGTGGATAATGGTATCGCGAGGCAAAAAACGACCTTATATACACCTCAACAGAATGGGGTGGCCGAAAGATTAAACCGGTCACTCATAGAAAAGGCGAGATGCATGCTGAGTTGGGCAGGTTTGAAACCTGCATTTTGGGCAGAAGCTGTAGCCACGGCCAGCTATTTGAAGAACCGGTCACCGACCTCATCAGTGAAGGATCGTACACCATACGAGGCAGTGTTTGGGAAGAAGCCGAATTTGTCACATATTCGGGTGTTTGGGTGTGACACGTATGTTCATGTACCCAAGGAGAAAAAGGGGTAAGCTTGACAATAAGTCTGAAAAGGAACATATTCGTTCGATACAAGGAAGGGGTCAAGGGCTATAAGCTGTGGAACCCTGAATCAAAGACCATTGTATACAACATGGATATTGTCTTTCTTGAAAAACAATCCTAGGCAAGCACACAGGAAAATGATGAGCCCAAGAAAGTAATAATGCTTGAAGAAAACCGGAAAGTTGAAACTGTAGAAATGGTTCCACCAGGTATACAAGTGGAGTCTGATTCTGATTCGGAACAAGAGGACTTGGTTAATGAAATTGAGGATGCAGATTCGGATGAAGACCCGGACACAGATAACATGCCGGCTCTCAGGAGATCAACGCGGGAGAGGCGAGTACCACTTCGATACTCACTTAGTGCATTGAGTATGTTTCATGCCTTGAGCATTACTGGGGATGATCTTAGTACTGGAAAAGAGGCAAGATCCATGGATGACGCGAATCAGTGGGAGCTCGCAATGATAGTTGAGATGCAGTCGCTTGATCATAACGAAACATGGAACCTGTGTAAATTGCCTAAGGATAGAAAGGCAATTGGGTGCAAGTGGGTGTTCAAGCGAAAATTGAAACCGGATGGGACTGTGGAAAAGTACAAGGCGAGGCTCGTAACCAAAGGGTATTCTCAGATCGAGGGAGTTGACCATGATGAAATTTTTTTCCCCTGTGGCGAAATTGACCTCGATACGGTTTGTTCTGTCCATAGCAGCTGCATACGATTTTGAGGTGGAACAGATGGACGTGAAAACGGCTTTCCTTCATAGGGACTTGGAGGAGGAGATTTATATGAGGCAACCAGAAGGTTTTGAAGCAAAAGAAAAGGAGAATCTGGTGTGCAAGCTGAAAAAATCTTTATATGGGCCGAAACAGCCACCGAGGATGTGGTACCAGAAGTTTGACACGTACATGCTCCAACTTGATTTTGTGCGTTCAAATTCTGACCACTGTGTTTATGTGAAGAGGGCTACCGATCAGTTTGTCATTCTCACACTATACGTGGATGATATGTTGTTAATCGGGAATAGCGTGAAGATGGTGAAATCCGTAAAAAATTTGTTGGCTATGAAATTTGATATGAAAGATTTAGGGCCTGCAGATTTTATTTTGGGCATGCAGATTACCAGGGACCGTGGGAAACGGAAGTTATGGCTAGGGCAAGAGAAATACATCAAAGAAATGTTGAAGAAATTCAACATGACGGACTGCAAGCCTGTTGGTACCCCCATACCTTTAGGGACCAAATTATCTGCGGAACAGTGCCCTAAAACGGATGATGAGACTGAAGAGATGGCCCGAGTTCCGTACGCAAGTGCAGTGGGTAGCTTGATGTATGCTATGGTGTGCACGCGCCCGGATATAGCCCAAGCAGTGGGAGTCTTGAGCCGATTTATGTCCAACCTGGGTAGAGAACATTGGAATGCAATAAAAAGGGTTTTCAGGTATCTTCATGGAACTTGGAATTTTTCTTTATGTTTTGAAGGTACCGGGAATGGAAACATCCTCGATATCGTGGGCCATGTAGATGCAAATTGGGGTGGAGACATTGATAGTAGACGGTCTACTAGCGGGTATGTTTTCACATTATTTGGAGCTGTGCTGAGTTGGATGAGTAGGAGGCAAAGCGTGGTAGCGCTCTCTTCTACGGAGGCTGAGTACATGGCTCTTACTCATGCCGGAAAAGAGGCTGTATGGTTATGGCGATTGTGCTTGGAGCTCGGTTTTAAGCAAGGTGCCGTAGAGGTGAGATATGACAACCAATGAGCTATTTATTTAGCTAAGAATCCAGCGTTTCACTCACTCACAAAGCACATCGACATACAATATCATTTTATCCGAGAGAAAGTGGAGAAGAAAGTGGTTCGGCTTATAAAGGTCGATACGGTGAAAAATAGTTTAGACTTCCTTACTAAAGCCGTCACGGGTGCGAAGTTTGAATGTTGCTCTATAGCGATTGGATTGAAGAGGAATGATATTGGGAAGGCTCTCATTTGCGCGAAGTATCCACCAAGTGGGAGAATGTTGGAGTTGGTGAATACTTCGGGGACTTTTGTTTCTCATACCGGGCACGCCCACGTGAGCTTAGGGAAACCGAAGTATGATCCGACAACATGTGACCCCTGCGCGCTGAATGCGGGGATTCGGGGGTCCCGCTGACCGGACAGCTGGCGAGGGTTCCGCTCCCCGATGAGCGAACGGCAGCCCTACTCGCCGGTGAGCGAGCGGGGGTTCGGGGGTAGCGCCCCAAAACAACATCGGGTTTGCTAACCCGTTTGTTGTGGGATCAAAGAGATTTGGTTAGTCTTGGACTTTGGGCCCATTTTAAGTCCTATATATATATTGTACTCGTATGAAAGATCATTGTAACAAGTAGCTGTGGTCGAAAACCTAAATATCATAGTGGAATCCCTTTACAGGACGTAGCCCTATTCTGGAGTGAATCTGGGTAAACCTGTGTGTCAATTTTTCTATTATCTATGTGATTATTCTAATTCAATTTCGGATAAAACCCCATCACTTTCTTGCTCCCCACCTGCACCCCTTCCAACATCGTCGGCTTCACAACCGGCCACATCAAAATCGCCGGCATGATCAAGGTCGGTTTGCCTCTCAAGATTACCGGCATTGCCATACTGTCCTTGCTGATGCCCACATTAGGTAAACTCCCTCTTCTTGGTGTAAAGTTGTAAACTACTTCATCAGTTAGCGCATCGTTTGTTCTCAATCGAGTCACTCGACTTTAATCGCGCTTCAGATGAAAACTGCTCTATCGTCGAATTCCTGATCAAAACCTGATTCGATCTGCTCTTTTTTTCTGTTGGGTGTAGGAGCATATGTCTTCGGAAACAAATGGTAAGGTGCCATAGCAGAGGAGAGCTGTCTTTTGCCATTGGAGTTTTGCATCCCAAATTCAACAGGCAAAAGAGAGGTTCCAGGATTCATCAACAGTCTAGTACAAGTGTTAGGATTAATTCTTTGGGGACTATTCTCAATTTTCCTTATCAACTCTCTCTGTATATAAAACGACTGAATATGGAGCGGGCAATGAATATCTTGAAACGAAAGTACAGGAACGACTATGAATTTTGAACCGGAGATATATAAACTGTTGGAAGATTAGCGAAAAGATTGAAGATTCCGATTATTGATGGATGAACAAAAACCATGCATAATCAGGATCAAATGCGAAAACGTGAAAAATTCTGTATAAACCTCTAGCTATTAATGAAGTCGAAAACCAGATATGCAAAGACATGAATGATCGGTGAATGAGTACTTCTAGTCAGTTGCGTTCTTGCGTGTTTTTCTATATCTCGAGGAGTTTGACTTAGACGTATTTATATTTTCATTCGCACCCTTACAGAGATAACCTCTTCCACCAAAACAGTTAACTTAAAATTGGGACGCAGCTTAATGCAGACAATAAACGTCAACAAAATTAATTAATGTGGGGGCAATAATAAACTGAATGTGGGATCACATTATCGATCGGTATGATAACATATACGTCACCGTTACGATGTTATTCTCTCTATGTTTATGCATTACAATTTCTTTTGCATTCCATAGCCCTTTCTAGTAGCTGTTGGGACTTGAATTGAACTGCGTGGGCGCCGCTCATATCCATCACAGATCCAGACATTAGTAAGTGCTTGCTTGGTTGGGTTCAATTCAATGGCTCCGACCTCGTATGTTTTACGTGCATTTGACCTCGCCACCCTTGCGAAATCCCATGTTCAAGCTTCGAATCATTTCGAACTACCCTTAAACGCCACGGCCATTAGACTCCACAAGATCAAAGGAGGGCTCGTTCAAAGCTCAAATTGAAACGTCTAGTTCAAGAAAGAGAACGTCTGTTGTCAACACTCGAAAGAGCGTGGGAAAAATTACCGAAAAAGTCCTCAACATGTCGCAATTTTACCAATTTGATTTTAAACCTTTTAATTGTGTCAATTGAGTTATAAACATTTTCATGTTTTGTCAATTGTGTTGATCCGACCAATTTTTGCTGCAAATCGTTAGCGTGGACGTTGACCGTCCTGCCTGGCACGGTCAATGCTGACGTGGATAATTTTTTTTTAATTTTTAATAGTTTTTGACTTGTTTATTAATTTTTTTATTCTTCTATTTTTTCTTTGTTTCTTTTTCCTTTTTACTGTGGCCGGTGAGAGTCGCTAGGCCCTCATCGCCCACTAGGCAAGGGTAGTGAAGCCCTCACGTACTGCTAACAAGGCCGTAATGCCCTCGCTAGCTGCAGATGAGGGTCGCAGCCCTCGCTTAGATCTGGGCAAGGCGTCCTCGTCCGTGGCCGGCGAGGGTCGACCCTCATCGGCTATAGTAAAAAAAATTAAAGGAGGAAAAAGAAGAAAAAAAAAGGAAAAAAAATAAAAATCTCGAAAAAATATTAATATATTTATTAAAAATTGTCAGTGTCAGCCACGGCACGTAGAACGGCCTGCGTCCACATCAGCGCTTTCCTGCCAAAATTGACAGGATAGATTCAAGGGAAAATTCCATTTTGGTACCCTAAGTGAAAGCGTTTTCTCAATTTGGTTCCCAAAGTGGACACTACGTCAAATAAGGGCCTGAAGTGTCCAATTAGTCTCAAATAAGGACCTGAAGTGCCCAAAAAGTCTCAAATAAGGGCCTGGGTCGCCGCCGGCCAAAATTGCCTGCCGGCCGGCAATAATGTTACTGTTCCGGCACCGGAACAGTAACTTTTTAATTATTTTTTCCTTTCTATTTTTTTTTCCTTTTCCTTTTCCTTTTTTTTTCTTCTCTTCCTCCGCCGGCCATAGCTGGGGCCGGCGGAGGTTGCCCGCCTGAGGCGGAGGCGGCCCTTGCAGACATCGGGCAAGGGCCGCCCTCGCTTGGGCTAGGCGAGGTCGGCCTCGCCGGCGTTGGGCGAGGCCGGCGTCGCCGGCGTTGGGCGAGGTCGGCGTCGCCGTTGCATGCGAGACCGACCCCGCCGGCGTTGGGCGTGGCCGGCCTCGCCGTTGCAGGCGAGACCTACCTCACCGGCGTCGGGCGAGACCGGCCTCGTCGTTGCAGGTGAGACCGACCTCGCCCGACGCCGGCGAGGTCAAGCCTCACCAGCGGCCGACAAGGTCGAGACCTTGCTAGATCTGGCCCGGCTCGACCTCGCCGGCGTTGGGGGAAGCCAGTCGCCAGGGCGAGACCGGCCTCCCCCGACGCCAGCAAGGTCGAGCCTTGCCGGCAACTGGCGAGGCTGACCTCGCCCAGCAACGGCGAGGTCGGTCTCGCCCAGCAACGGCGAGGCCGAGCCTCGCCAGCGACCGACGGGGCCGAGCCCTTGCCAGATTTGGCGAGGCTCGACCTTGCCGGCAATTGGCGAGGCTGACCTCGCCTAGCTTAGGTGAGGGCGGCCCTCGCCCGACGCCGGTGAGGGCTGCCTCCACTTGAGGCGGGCGACCTCCGACGGCCCCGGCTATAGAGAAGAAAAAAATAAGAAAAGGAAAAGGAAAAAAAAATACATAAAGGAAAAAATAATTAAAAAAAGTTACTGTTCCAGTGCCGGAACAGTAACATTCTTGCCGGCCGGCAGGCAATTTTGGCCGGCCGGCGACTCAGGCCCTTATTTGAGACTTTTTGGACACTTCGGGTCCTTATTTGAGACTAATTGGACACTTGAAGCTCTTATTTGACACCGTATCCACTTTGGGTACCAAATTGAGAAAACGTTTCCACTTGGGGTACCAAAATGAAATTTTCCCTAGATTCAATTGATAAAACGTGAATAGGTTTATGACTCAGTCGGTACAATTAAAATGTTTATGACTGAATTAGCATAAATATAAAAAATTTAGAACCGTTTTGTTAATTTTCTCCGAGAGAGGAGTTCGAGGTGTAAAGGAAACCACACCGAAGATGCTCCCGTGTTTCGGACAAAGCGCACCCGCCGCTAATCTCCCGACCCCCAACAGAAGCTCCGTGTTTTGGACACTCACTTTGCTCCCATTTTTAACGTCAGTGGCGCGTTCCATCTGTCGCCAAAACATCCTCGTTTTGTCGTCGCTGTTGCTCCGACCCTCACGACCCGTCAAAAGTTTTTGCTGCCACTTCTTTTTTCACAAACTTGACTCTTTTTTTTTTGAAAAATATCACAATGTTCTTTATGGGGCTTACTTCTATTTGTAGCTACTAAATCCCGGGATTTAATCGAGCAATAAAATGAAACAAGTAAGATCCACATTCCAAGATCGTGAAATCTCATTTGCAGTTCACTTACTTAGACTCCGTTAGTCACGGAGAATACGACATTTTTGGAAAATGATTTTCAAGGAAGTAATTTTGTCGTCGCTGTTGCTCTGACCCTCACGACCCGTCAAAAGTTTTTGCTGCCACTTCTTTTCTTCACACACTCGACTCTTGTTTTTTTTTTTTTGAAAAATATCACAATGTTTTTTATGGGGCTTACTTCTATTTGTAGCTTACTAAATGAAACAACTAAGACCCACATTCCAAGATCGTGAAATCTCTTTTGCAATTCACTTACTTGGACTCCGTTAGTCACGGAGAATATGACATTTTTGGAAAATGATTTTCAAGGAAGTAATTTTAAAAAAAATGACCATATTTTTTTTATGTTTAGTTGAAACCTAAAAATAAAAAGGAAAATATTTTTTCGTCGTCTAAAAGGAGCATATTTTTTCAACTATGCGAATCTCAAGAGTTAAGTTAGGCTCCTTTTGTTTCGGGGAAAATGAATTATTAGAAAGATCTTTTTCCGAAAACAATTGCTTATACCTCTTACGAAAAATGAACGAGCGAGAAATATTTTCATCGTCCATGAAAATATTTAGACATAATATAATGACAACACTTTCTATTAACTAATTATCTCGAGTGATACAAACGATCGCCTTTAGGAAAATTTCTTCAAAATTATTTATTTTCCATAAAACAAATAGAATCTTAGTCAAAAAAAGGTTGGAAAGAAGGCGAGAGGAAAAGGCTCTAGCATGAGAAAGAGGAAAAATGATTTCCTTTTTTCCATTTTTCCCAATTTTAGAAGGGTATTTTCCGCTGACGGAAAACTTTTTTTTTTACCACTTATTTTTCAAGTCTCAAATGCCGGAAAATGAGGATTTTTTTTTCTAAAAATGTTTACCTCGAAACAAACGAAGCCCTAGAATCGAGTTTCGAAGGAGCAATTTTTGGACTTCGAAGAATCTCCTCGTCCCAACATGCCTAGTTCGCCTTTGACCAAACTAAAAAATCCGACTTAACCTAACACATGCAAATTGACCCATGATATCATCCGACGGATAAATGCGAATATATGATCTAATGAACAGATTAAATAATATTAATAATATAAAGGGTTAATACCACGAAAAATTCCATACTGGTATATCAGTGATAAATTTATCCTGAACTAATTTTTTTATCATCAAAAACCTCAAACTGGTTCACCTTGAAGAAATTTACCCAAAACTAATTTTTTGATCACAAAAAACTCCAAACTGGTACACTTGTGACAGATTTACCATTTGTTAATTTGAATTAATACCACAAAAAATCACAAACTAGTAAACCTGCGACAAACAGAGGGGTAAAACCCTAAATTGGTGTACTCTTCAATTGACACGTGTCAATCAACTCAACAATTTGACGGTAAAATTTAATGAAAACTAATGGAAGGTAAATTTGTTACAGGTGTACTAATTTACGGGTTTTGATGGTTAAAAAATTAGTTTGGATTAAATTTGTCACATACGTACCAATATGGAGTTTTTGGTAGTATTGACCCTAATATAAACCTGCTTAAGAACACATGAACATGTATATTTCTGCATTGCGAATATTTTTTTCGTATTATTTTAGTACCCTCACATCTATAAGACGTTAAATCCTTAAATCCATTAAATAATTACAACCTTGCCATAAATTCCAAGTCGACCCAAGAAAAAAATTATTCTTTACCCCCCGCCACACGACATGTGTCCGTGTCCCTCGCAATTCCTAGGGGCTATAACTACACGTATTCTCCACCCGGATAAGCATTCACTTCCCAAGCCCCCACCAAGAAAACTGAAGCATAAAACAGTTACCAAAACCAAAACCAAACCCGAAAATGAGACTCCTCCTCCTCGCCGTCGCCGCCGCCGCCGCCGCCCTGCTCCTCCTCCAAGTCTCGGCCTTCGGGGCGGCCCCCGGGGAGCCGCTGCTCGGGGGATGGACGCCGATAAAGAACCTGAGCGACCCGTACGTGAGGGAGATCGCTGAGTTCGCCGTCAAGACGCACAATGACGATGCCAATACGGGGCTGCTGCTGAAGAAGGTGGTGAAGGGCGAGACCCAGGTCGTCTCCGGGACGAACTACAGGCTCGTCGTCGAGGTCAAGGACGGGGCCAACACGAAGAACTTCGAGGCCCTCGTTTTTGACAAGCCGTGGGAGCATGTCAGGCGCCTCGTCGTTCAAGGCGGTTCACGGCAGAGCCTGAGTTCGTCGTTTCGTCGTACTTCTTCTGAGTTATTACTAGTAATCCTGGGTCATGTTACAGCTTCAGCAGTTTGAGAATAAATTAAAGAGTCTGTAGAAGTAAGATCTGGTTGTTTGTCGTTAGGGATGGAAGCTTCAGTCTGATCTGATGCGCTGTTTCCGTTTGAAAACTTCGGTGGAAGAAAAGTAAGAAGAATAAAAATTAAAAAATTAGGGGAGACGTAAGAATGAAGACTCTTCGTTCTTCTAGATAAGCCCGTCAAACAGGTGGATTAAGACAGCTTTGCGTTCAATCATATCGAAAGTATTTTAATCCAAATTGACCAATGTAATAAATATGGCCCCATTTTATCCGGTACAAATTTAGCGCCCCGTACTCATACTTGATCTAGACCCAATCGAGCCCCACTTCTTAGCAAATATATTTTTTAAATTGCTAATATTTTTAGGCTATTTTGATTTTCCTACAACAGTCTGTAATATAAAACGACCGAATATGGTGCGGGCGACACAATAGTCAATTATAATTAGCTTTATGATTGAAGGGAAGAACTTATACAGTTGTATGTTCTTTTTCAAAAATTTTGGCTGATCTTTTTCTTTTGGATTAATATTATGAAAAACTCCAAACTGATATACTTATGATAATTTTACCAAAAATTAATTTTTTGACCATAAAAACCCCAAACTGGTACACTTATGACAAATTTACCCAAAACTAATATTTTGACCACTAAAAATCTCGAACCGGTACATTTGTGATAAATTTACCCTCTGTTGATTTTCGTTAAATTAGATTTATATCACAAAAAATCACAAATTGGTACACACGTGACAAACAGAGGGTAAAACATAAAACTGGCAAATCAGACAATTGTCGCGTGTCATTTAACAAAGCAATTTGACAGTAAAATTTAACGAAAACAAACTGAGGGTAAAATTGTCACAGGTATACCAGTTTGGGGGTTTTTTGCGGTTAAAAAATTAGTTTGGGGTAAAATTATCACAGGTGTACCGGTTTGGGATTTTTCGTAGTATTAACCCTTTTCTTTTTCTTCCGTTGATCTCGTTGTTGGATGGAATTTGGGAGTGTGAAAATTGATGAATTTCATCAATTCAAAAACTAGATTATATGAAAGAAAACGAAATTTACGAAGTTTGAGTATCATGTGGCAACTATTGTTCATTTCATTGAATAAATTTTCTTCAAAGACCGGAAAAAGTATCTTTGTTTATAGGGATATATTCACTGGAAATCCTAAAATTTGTTACGAAATTGCAATTGAGTCATAATACTTGCAAAAAGTGCAATCAAAGTAATCTGAAAACTCTTTCAATGCCAAGAAGGAGATTTCATGAAATTTTGAAAGAGGATCTTTTAGTAAATTAAATGCAAATATGAAACATTTGATTCAAAATAAAGAAATCGTTAAAAGCAACGAAGTAATTTCAGAAATCTTGAGTTCAAAGAATAAATCGATAACAAATAGAAATTTGTAAAAACACCTCTAGTAAAGTTAGTCATAGCAGGATCTTTGTGCTAAGAAGTAAAGCACTTATAATAATAAGCAACGAGGCTCCTACACCAATTGTTGGGGCTAACAATACAACCTAAAGGGGGGTGAATAGGTTGAATGAGAAACTATAAACGACTTTTGTGGAATACAACAAGTGAAGCTTCATTAGCAGCAGAAATAATTTAATGTAATCATGAGTTCTGCTGATGAACTAATTACGTAATCAAGTGCGGTGCCGATAGATATTTGATTTCTTTCTCTTTAAATGAGATCTCAAATCCAATGACGGTTTCATTATATATCTTACAACTAGAATCCCTCTTTTTTCTGATTGAGTTCCTCCACCACCGTGAACTCCAATTAGATTGAGGCATGATACATTTTTTTGTTATTGGGAGAACCCAAGTACTCTCTTTTTCATATCTAGGAAACAACACTCAAAGATCTTTTTTCCTTTTGGAAGATCAAGGAGTGAAACAATCAACCTATTGATATTAGAAGACTCAAAAGATTCTTCCAATGTAACATTTTTGGGTCCAATGGAATTCATAGGTATAGGAAGAAGTCCTGTCAAATAGTGATTCTTTCTTTTGACCATATTTTGATTGTTAATACGATATAAACATATAATGAAGAGATAGAAGACAGTACACTGAGTTTTATAGGCTTTATCCCTAAGCCTTCATTCACTCTCAACACTAATAGTCATAATAGGCTGAAATCCACTAGTAATCGGCATTGTAAGTTACAATTGGTAAGTATTGTTCCTTTCACACGATAGATCACACTATCAGGACACAACCACTACTCTTACACTTGTACACTTGACTATACTATGATTACAACTTAATAGCACAAACATAGAGACATTATTAGCATCATAGGTGCTAACAACAAAAAAAAGAAAAAAGTAAAGAAGAATACTCAAGAGCTATAGACTCGGTTTGTTCATTTCCACCTCAACCTTACTATTTTCAGTTGGATTGAGTACATATAGCCATGCAACCCTCAGATGACCGTTTGACACTCAACTCCATGAAGTATCCGTTGGTATTACCATTGCCATCAGTAGAACGGCTCCCTATCACTCACCAGCATCAGAACAGCTATCGTTGACAATGATAGTTTCCCAAACCAATCATACTACTCCTGTCAATGTCTATCTTTTGTCAATTTTGCTGTTACTACTCTGATTCATCTCCAGTTCTCATGATGCGAATTCCAAGCCTTTGTAACGGCTATATTGGTGTTGATCAACATTCCAATTAGATGAGCATGCGAACACCACTTCCCACAACTCGTTATCTACACTATCCCTTACCCATATAATCAAGAGTGTAGATCATTAATAACTTGTTGGTGACACCCCCCAACGAAATTGTGTGGAATGACTTTCGATCAATCTTCCAATGATCCCCTTGGTTTCATTAGCTTCCAAAGACTTCAAAGGACATTAGCATTCCCGATGATTCTTTGTCTTCACTGATTGACCAAGTTAGCATCCAAGACCTCTAATGACATCAACATCACTGTTGATTTCTCATTTTCACTAAACTCATTGGATTATCGGCATTGTCACTATCTTCCCACCTCATATGAAGAGACTACTCCAGCAAACAATTTGTTGTCCCAATAGCGATCCGTTGCTCTGTTATCTTCTGGTCCTTCCAAGCATATTGACGATTGTAACTTTACCAAGCTATTCACCTTCACAAGTGCGGTTCTTCCAAGCTTCAACAAATATTACCATTCTAACCTTGTTCACCATCACCAAGGTCCATCTAGTGGTTCACCTTATCTTGATTCTTCCAAGCCATCGCAAACATTATTGGAGTTGGCATGGTGATGTGGATCAACGTTTTGAGGACAATGAACCAGTGGTCTCCGTGCTTGTCCTTGTCTCGCTTGATTCTCCAAGACAATGAGGACTTGAGTCATTTATTGCTATAGATTCTCTATGGCTCTTGCCTTTCATCGTGGGTTGGTTCCAAAGTCAAGTCTCTAGGCACCAGATCACTCGTACATTTTAGAACAGAAGTATGAAGCGGAGAATCGTAGAACTTACCCACCTAACTCAACCTATAAGCTCTGATACCAACTTGATGCATAGTTGATTTAGGTAAAGTTGCTGAACGAATTTGACAATGAAAGTCTTTCATGTATTTGCGGGAAAAGAACTTTGGGATAGAATAGTTTACCACCAAGGCATAAATGAATGTTCCCCCAATGAAAAATAAAGAACTTTAAGGTTCACCACCAATAAATTGGACAACAAACCAAGTGAATCACTCACTTGAAAAAAAAAATTCATGTATTATCAACTCAAAACATTGCATGCATATAACTGAGAAAGCACCTCTTATATATAGAGCGACTTAGACACTAAACTAGGAAATGCTAAATAAGAAATCTTAAACTTTGAAACATGAAATGTTAAACTTGGAAAATAATCAAATTAAAAAAATCAACTTAAATTAGGAAACTACACTTCAGCGTATAGAAAGAGCCTTTGTTTTTCAACTTATAGAAATTACTTATTGAATCATGTTAATGATTATGTGCTTAATCTAATGTGAAAATATATGACAAATAATTATAAATTATTGTGAGATCCATTCCTTCAATAATTTATAGCTCACATCATATTACAAAAAATAAATTATAAATTGTTGTGGGGTCTATTCCTTTAAGAATTTGTGGCTCACAACATTATGTTATTTTCACGTGACTTAAAATATGTTATGTTAGTAAAGCCCAAATGATAAATCGAAAGAGTCATTAATTTCATAATCCATAAAAAAATTACCTTGTCATATATTCAAAGTTGATTTTTTTCCCACACCACACGACAAGTGTCCGTGATTTAAACAAAAAAAAAGACAAGTGTCCGTGACTCTCACAATTCGCGGCCCATAAATACAGTTACCCACCACCTATAGAAACCTTCAAGATAAGCATTAATTTCGACGCCCCACCAAGAAAAGTAAAGCATAAATAAACATCCACAATTATCACAACCCAACCGCCCCAAGAGAAGACCCAAGAAAACAGCTAACAAAACCAGAAACCGAAGCTGAAAGCCCTCCGAAAATGAGACTCCTCATCCTCGCCACCGCCGCCGTCCTCCTCCTCCTCCAAGTCTCGGCCGTCGGGTCCGCCCGCACGGAGCCGCTGCTCGGGGGGTGGAACCCGATAAAGAACCTGAGCGACCCGTACGTGAGGGAGATCGCTGAGTTCGCCGTCAAGACGCACAATGACAATGCCAAGACGGGGCTGCTGCTGAATAAGGTGGTGAAGGGCGAGACGCAGATCGTCTCCGGGACGAACTACAGGCTCGTCGTCGAGGTCAAGGACGGGGCCGACACGAAGAGCTTTGAGGCCCTCGTTTGGGACAAGCAGTGGGAGCATTTCAGGCGTCTCTCGTCGTTCAAGGCCGTTCAGGGCAACGCGTGATGTCGTCGTTTCGTCGTACTTCTGAGTTATTACTAGTAATCCTCAGTCATATTACAGTTTCAGTAGTTTGAGAATAAATTAAGAGTCTATAGAAGTAACATCTTCTGGCTGTTTATCGTTAGCAAATGGAAGCTTCAGTCTGATCTGATGCGCTGTTTCTGTTTGAAAACTTTGGTATAATTCGAGGGATCCTATGTTTTCCTTTCCTTTTTTTGTTCTGCTCTTGCTTTTCTGGGTCTGATGTTGCTTAATGCAACGTGCAAGAATCTTGTGAAGATGGATCAGATTAGGTCAGCCGAAGAGAGAAATCTGCATATGAAGAAAGATGTTGCTGCTGATCTTTGATCTGGGATGTGGATGGATGGTCGAGAAACGTCTCAGATGACGGTGGGACGAGCAGATTTGACGGGAGATTTAAGTATATGCTGGTATATTCTCACGTGAACTAATGGGAAGGGACAGACCTATGGACTGACTATAAACAAATCAGTTGTTTGTACATACCTTTTTACTATGTTAGATATGAAATAAAGAAAAAGGGTTGTTTGAGACAAATTATCATGTGCCGAAGATTAATTTTGTTGACTTCTTGTCGAAAAGACAAGGATGGTTTCTTGACGGTAGTGACTTGACAAAATTTAAGAGAGCGTTCGGTGTGGGGACGTTGGATGAAAAGTTAGATTACTAATTTAGGCTTTAGGGAAGATATAAGAATGGACACTCTTCCCTTCTTCCTCCGCAAACGAATTGGCCGGATCGAATTTGGGCCTAGTCGGGATGAAAGTGGTCCAATCCAAATCGACCCCATTTAATCAATATGGATTCATTTTTATGCGATTCAATTATAGTAACTTGTACCCATGCTCATGCTCGACCCCACTCGAGTTGCAATTCTTAGTAATTATTCTCATTAAATTGCTAAGGTTTTGGGACTATTTTGATTTTCCTACAACTCTATATAAAAACGACCGAATATGCTGCAAGCGAGACGATAGTCAATTATAATTAGCTTTATGATGAGAAGAAGAACTTGTTTGGTGCTCCCTATGAAATAGAGATATTTCTATTTTTTTCAATGTTTTTGGCAAAAAATATTTATTTTCTCCTGTTAATCTCGTTGTTGGATGAAACTTGGGAGTGTGGAAATAGATGAAGATCTTGTTAACAAATGCTCTCAGAGTACATATTAAGCATAACTAATAGAGAACAGTTCGATCTCCAAACGAGTTGATTACGCATAATAAGGGTGATCGGTTCCAGGGAGGGTCGTTCCCACCCTGGAATCTAAAACTGGACCAAGCAAGGTCGATTCCCCGTATGTGGAATTGGGAACGGACCTACCCGATCCTGGGTTTGGTCCGATTCTAGGGTCGGTCTCAGAACCAGTTATTTCTTTTTCTGTTTTTGGTTTCTTCTATTATTTATAAGTGGGAGTTTCCCAATATTAAAAGAAAAAATAATAATTTACCAATTATGATTTTTTTCAAAATAAAAAATAATAAAAAATTAAGAAATTTTGGCCGATTCGGATCCGAACATTCTGGTTGGTTTGGTTCCTTATGTAGAACTAGGAACCAAATCGGTCCCCCCTGAGAACCACCCAAAACCATGACTTGCCGTTGTGGCTTATGGCCTGTAACCACTACCACAAGGTCATGGGAGAGAGAGAGAGAGAGAGAGAGAGAGAGAGAGAGAGAGAGAGAGAGAGAGAGAGAGCCACCATGCTGCAATCATCATAACCCGAAACTCACAAGACAACAACGATCATCGCGCACATTTGATGTGACTTTTGCAAAAAAATATAACACATTTTTGAACTTTTCAGAAAAGTACAAAGATCTTGGATTCTCTTTAAATCAAACCTTAGATAGATAAAAAATTTGGTGTCATTTTATCCCTATAAGTAAATTTGTCACAGGAGCAATGAATCTTTTGAACACTAAAACGGGAGAATGATTATGAATTTTGAGTCTCTATATCTTTATAGGCAATTTTTTTGTACCTTTCATAGCTCTTCTAGTAGCTGTTGAGACTTGAATTGAACTATGTGGCGACCGCATAATCCATCACAAAAAATTAGTAAGTGCTTTCTTGGTTGGGCTCAAATCAATGGCTCCGGCTTTTGTATCTTTTATCTATATTTGACCCTGCGATACATTCCAAAATCTCGTAATCAACGTTCGAATCATTTCAAACTAATCTTAAATGCCACGGCAATTGAACTCCGCAAAATAAAAGTTTGGCTCGTTCAAAGCTCAAAGTAAGACGTCAAGTCCAGGAATGAGAACGAGTGGTCAAACCCTAAAAAAAAGAGAGGAGTTCAAGCAGCAAAGCTGCAAAGGAAGCCCCACCGAAGACACTCCAAGTTCCATCCTTTCCGCGACCACTTGCGACTCGTTCATCGACCATGGACAGCAAGACAAACCACATCCACTCAAGTTGCGACACCCCAAAGAACACTGTCGCTTGTGCGATCCATCTGTCGTGAAGACTGTCGTTTCCCGTCGCCATTGCTCATCCATCGACGCCCGCCAAAACTTCTGCTGCGATATTTTTTTCTCCGCGCACTATTTCGGATCAAATCGATCGAGTACAGATAAACTTACATCTTATTTTAAGGATTTTGATTTATGGATTTTGTCTCGCACCCTAAATAAATATCACGACAATTTATCGACTCGACTTGATCTTGTAGCTACTAAACTTGAGGACTTGATTGAAAAATTAAATGTAAGAATACGGTCTTACATTCCAAAGAGCATGAGATCTAATTTTCAATTTCTGAAAGATCGATATCAAATGAGCGGATATCTTCAGCATTATATCCCTGTGAGAACATCAACCGTCCGCGTCTCTTCATGTCCAAACTAAGTTTTAGCCTTTCTATGGGGAAAATTATCTAAAAAATTCTAAACATATTACATTTTTACCAATTCAGTTCTAAATATTTTCATTTTGCTAGTTTAGTCCTGAACCTTTTGCAATTGTACCAATTCAGTCCATCCGGCCAATTTTAATTGCCGGCATCCGATCGTCCAACCAACGCTGACGTGACAATTTTTAAAATTATTTTAATATTTTTTTTGAATTTATTTATTTATTTTTTCTGCTCTTCTTCCCTCTGGCCGACGATGTCGACCTCGCTGGCCTTTGGCGAAGCTCGCCCCCGCCGGTCACTAGTGAGGGCGAGGCCGACCTCACAGCCACTGGGTCTGCCTCGCCTAGCGATGGTGGGCTCGACCATACCATGGCCGGGCTGACCCCGTTGCTAGGTTCTCCCTTGCCCAGTGACGGCGAGGTCGGCCTTGCCTTGACTGGGTGAGGTTCACCCTCACTAGTGGCCAGTGGGGGCGAGCTTCGCTAGAGGCCAGCAAGGCGCCGGACCGGCAAGAGGGAAGAAGGGTAGAAAATAAAAAGAAAAAGAAAGAAAAAAAGGGAAAAAATTACAAAATAAATAAATATTTGAAAAAAATTAAAAAAAATTACCACATCAGCGTTGGCCGGACGGCCGGCACTGGTTGGCATCCACATTAGCGCCGGCTGCCCAAATTTAACCATATAGACTGAATTATCACAAATATAAAATATTTAGGATTGAATTGGCAAAAATACAATAGGTTTAGGAATTTTTGGATAATTTCCCCCTTTCTATGTGTATGCCTGATGCGGAATTTGGTGATGCTCTTACATTGCAAGCACTGGTGTTGGCATTGGGAGTCTTTTGAGGAGCATTGGTTTCTTCGTGAGGCATCATTGGTTGTGGCCAGTTGGCTATATATGACAAATTAGATGGAGGGACCATAATCCAATGGATCCGGTGAAAGTGGTCCACCCCAAAGGTCTTGTGAGGCTAATTGATGAGGTTGTGGTGATTAGACTGGCTGAGAAGGATTATTTGCTTAAAACTCTGATACAGCTTGCTGAATGGCATCTCTAGTTGGTTTACCATCCCCTTGGTGGTGGTTCTTTCTTCAACATCTTCTGGAGTGGATGCATAAACTTCGAAATATTGGGAACAAAGTCCCTAAGATAATTAACAATTCCAACGAACTGCTAGACTTGCTTGTGAGAGAGATTCTCATCTGGAAATTTGAGAAGTTCTTTTGCAATATGATCACTCGGATGGAATGCTCCATCCTTCAAATGCATACCTAGAAACTCAATTTCCGTCTGGACGATCACCTTCTTCTGGGACAGCATAATACCATATTGCTTAATCAAATCAGCGAATTGCTTAAGCAGCTTGCAATGAGATTCCTCTTTAGGACTCTAGAGTATCAATGTAAATCTGGGAGTTTGCGCTAATTGGATAAATTATTTTGCAAATGGCCTTTGGAATAATGATGGCGATGTCTTGAGGCCAATGGAAGGATTTTCCATTGGAAATGTTTGTTTGGGATGCAAAATCTAATTTTGTGTTTGTCTTCTGGATGGATTCCAAGTTGCCAAAATCTTGCCTTTAGATTAAAATTTGAATAAAGCTTGGTTGGGCATAAATCAATGGCTCCAACCTTTGTATCTTTTACCTATATTTGACCATGCGACCCTTCCGTAATCTCGTACTCAACATTCGAATCATTTCAAACTTATCTTAAACGCCACGTCAATTGGACTCCACAAAATCAAAGTTTGGCACGTTCAAAGCTCACATTAAGACGTCAAGTCCAAGAAAGAGAACGAGTAGTCAAACCCTTAAAAAGAGAGGAGTTCAAGTTGCAAAGGAAGCCCCACCGAAGACGCTCCAAGATCTATCCTTTCCGCGACCACTTGCGGCTCGTTCATCGAAAATGGACGACAAAACAGACCATCCCCCACTGATCTTACGACAATCCAAAGAAGCTCCACGTTTTGGACTCACACGTGCCCCATTCTCACGTTTGTGCCATCCATCTGTCGTGAACACCGTCGTTTCCCGTCGATATTGCTCATCCCTCGGTACCCATCAAAACTTTTGCCTGCGATTTCTTTTCTCCGCACACTGTGATTGGATCAAACCGATCGAGCACAGATAAATTCGCATCTTATTTTAAGAGTTTTTATCTATGGATTTTGTCCCGCATCCTCCCTAAATATGACAACATACTTTATCGACCTGACTATATCCTGTAGCTACGAAACACGAGGGCTTGATTGAAAACCAAAATGAAAGAGTACGATCTTGTATTCCAAAGAGCGCAAGGTCTCATTTTCAATTTCCTCAATTGGGG